ATATATATATATATCTTGATTGGTTGATTGATTGAACGAAATAATGCCGACCGGTTTTGCCCATCGCTACGAGATCGAACTGAGGCGTAGGCTGCCTAACACTTCACTCTGACCAAAAAGAATTGGTGCCAACCAGCTAAGAAACTTGTTGTTTTAATAACCATGAAAAGCATGCGTACACGCGCGGCAGGGATCGGCGAATGAACGTGTGAATATGCCACGTCACTTGTCTGTATACGTTGACGTTCGAACGGAAAAGCAAAGCTGGTCAGGACGTGGTGGGATGTTAGGCACGCTAACCCGCAGAACAAAATTATTACTCGCATAGCTGCTTTATAGAATCTGTTCATTTGCATCGACTTTTATTGAGTTTAGAATTATGGACAAATGTATATATTTGAGTATAAGGATATAAAAGAGAAGGGATGTGATATATAATACACGGTAAATATTGTGAAAATACCTGTCCATTAAATTCCACTAAACCTTTGCTGTAGATTGCATAGAGAATAAAAAGGCATACGATGAAAACAATTTTCTAGTCTAACATTGTTTGTTTTTATTCAATGAATGAATCAGCATTGATCTCAGTCATTTTATGAATGTGCCGTACTTGTCAAATCAATGATGATATGATTAAAAATTAAAAATTCGTCTTCATCTCCTCTCACCTCTCCTTCTCTCTCCCCCTCTCCTTCACTCTTTCTCTCTCTCTCTCTCTCTCTCTCTCTCTCTCTCTCTCTCTCTCTCTCTCTCTCTCTCTCTCTCTCTCTCTCTTCGTCTCTTTCTATCTCTTTCTCCCTCTCTCTGTATTTGTTCTCCTATCCTTCCCGTGCCTAGTACACCCTCTTTCTCATCGTCTCTCTTGTAAACAGGAATGATGCTATAAATCCAAACTTGTTGTTGTAACCGGAATAATCTTTAATATCTTACACAGTGTAGCCACAACTTTCGACAATCGCACAAAGAGACAAAGAACGCGCACACGCGCATACGCGCGTGTGCTCACCTCCGCACCCAGAACCAGCCTCCCCTTCCTACATCTCTGTCCTCTCTATTACCCCCCAAAACTCCTACAAACATACTGCCCGCACATGTAACCGTTCTCACAGACCGCGTCCTATACCCCCCATTTCACAATGACCCTCTAATCTGTCTAACCTAACCACGTCTACCATTCTCCCTAATACATCAATGTAGCCGCGCATCTTGTTGCGCGACGCTCTGTCTAGCTATAGACTATGGCTAAAACAACTACCAGTCTAGCTTCACTGACTAATCCATGTAACACGTGCAAAACAAATGTTACATCATCTCCCTTTTCCCCAAAACGTAGACTACCCTGTCATCGATTCAGCGTCCTCGCTGATCTACACTTCAACCTAAACCTAAACAATTGAAAAAAAATTACTACCCTGATACTTTCCTAACTCAACCCAACGAGAGAAACGTCTTTCTGTCCGATTAAACAACCCACAATCAATACACACAAACATAACAACAATCAAAATACAATAAGAAAACACATATGAAGCGTAGAAAACAAGTAACGATAAAGTTCGATCACAATACAAGTCAGAAACTCAACACATTTGGCATGAATATTCTGATATCGCTGCAATTACTCTCACTCTTGCGTATTTTTATGGCTGTAACGTACGTGGCGTATGCGTATACCGACACGCATTACCGAAACCACGTTACATCTGGATTATATTCTCATAATCCCAGGGCACACATGGGCCCATGCACACAGGCATTAATAAACACAGCACTGATGTGGTACTTTGTTACTTCCACACATCATACAGCCAACAAAAATCATCATATATCATCCATCATACATCATACAGCCAACAAAAATACGCAAAACTGATTTCATATTTTTAATGAAATGTTTTAGGCCTATAATCAAACTCTAATTGAAGAATGTGTTTAGAGGTCTGACAATATAGTGTAAACGTACCGTCACTGGTTAGCACAAATTCAAGAAAACGATCACAAATTTCTAAACAAAGTTTCACGAAAACGATTTTCCACAAAAAAAACGGTCACAAGCATATATCATGAACAAAATACCGCGTACATAAAACAACCATAAACCTACATACATACATACATACATACATACATACATACAATGTCAGT